TTGTTTTCAATTTAAAATATTCAGTTTAAAACCTGTTAATCCTTGCCGCTCATGAAAGCAATTGGAATATGGTGTGTTGATGCAATGAGTTTGTTCTCTCTGTCAGTCTACTGCTGCTGCTGTTGACTTGTTTGTTTGCATGGCTGGCTATTTGTTTTCCTCCATTACTTCTGTCCATTCGTTTGTTCGGTCGATTGTTGTATCATCCCTGTTGCCGCTGTTGTTTGGTCGGTCGGTCGGTCGTTCGCTCGTTGTTTATGTCCTTTCGCTCATAACCGGAAATAACACTTTTGTTTCAACACACAACAACATTGCCATACATTATGACTGAGCGGGTTTATTATTTTTTTTTTTTTGTTCTCCTTTACAAACGGGCATTCCTGTGTTATTCCGGCATAACAACACCATGACCGGATATAAGCGGATTTGGATATATGCATGTATGTCGTTATTGGATATTGGGATGTATCGCGAGTTTTGATATTTTTAAGAGGGATAGAGGGATTAATAGTGCAAGAGGGCAAGATAAGATTTAAATGTACATAATCAATTCGGATTGGATAAGTTTGTGGGCTAATTGTATATCTAGCGCTAAACCGATCATAGATTAGAATTTCTATTTCCATTGAGATCATACAAATTTAGGTTAGAGAGTGTTAAACAGTTTGAGACAGATGTATGCCCTGGGATTTGTTCTGATACATAATTCGATAATTACAGTGAAAAATTCAGAGTTAACCAAAATAAGGAGTGATGTTCCATCCATTTTAAAATTTTTGTAAATGTACGGAATACATACAGGGTTGCCATATTCGACGGACCCATGAAACAAGTTCTTCAAAAAATCGATTGTTATGCGTCTTGTGTGCGGTGGAGCGCCGTCTTGTTGAAACCAGAACTGCCTCATACGCTTTCGACGAATAATTGGCATCACAAAATTGGTCATTATGTCGCGATAACGCTCCTGATTGATGGTGACAGCATGGCCATTTTCATTTTGGGAAGAAAAACGGCCAAATGACGATATGCTCCGCCGATCGCCTTGGTCGACTTTTATATGGCCTCTTCGGATTAGAAAGAGCCTTACCAGTCGAAAATTTTTCGTATAAACGCTTAATGGTGTTCTTAGAAGGCGCACTTCTCACATTATTTAATGTTTTAAAAGCGCGTTGAGTTTTCACAATTGACTTCTTCTGTTGAATGTAAATTTCAACTATTTCAGAGCGTTCGCGTGGTGTGCATTGGTTCATGGTAAAAATCTGCTTGGACTGACGCTTCAAACGCGGTATGTCATTAAGCGATGTGACATCTCTGTCAAAAGTTATGGCGTTGCCAGATGGGTCCGTCGAATATGGGCAACCCAGTACTACGTAGCTATCTGGTGTCCTCGTATATATTACAAATTTCCCACAGTCAAGTCTTCTGGGTTTTTTCTCCAAAAACTTTCCCAAGCTCCATTAAGATGTGATTGTGTGGAAAATACCCTACAAAATCGCTAAAAATTTAAAGATCGCGTTTGAATTAGATTCGCAGACGGTTGAGTTAAATTCGCACTCTATCTGACTTTATGCAAAATAGTTCCAGTTCTAGATGGCGACTTCAAGGTCAAAACTATTCTACGTACAATGTCAATATTAGTCATCAAAGAAAAATCTATATAACATCAAAAAAATAGCTCCCATATACAGGGTGAGATGAAAAAGCCACACGTCCGACAGCTGTTAAAATTATTCCAGTGAGACCTCATTATATTGTTTACAAGCGTACAAAAGCATCTTGGTGAACAATTTCCAGAAAAAAAAGATATTCGTGATGGAATTCAAGCGTGATAGTCTGATTTCTTTATATTTGGATGGCACTCCAGCCTTTAAATGTGAATAAACGTTTTGCGTCTCGTACCAGCGCTCATTACCGTGATACAGGTATCATAGCCCGACGTCAAGGAAGTGGACGGAAGAAAACAGCAACATCAGCAGAAATGGTTCGAAAAGTAAAGAAGCGACTTGATCGAAACCCGCGTCGCAGTGGCCGAAAAATGACTCGTGAGTTGAACATATCGCAATATTCCATTCGGCATATATTGAATAATGAGCTCGGTATAAAGTCATTGAAATTCCAAAAAGTGCAAGAACTTACACCGCAACAGAAAGAAAATAGACTCAAAAGAGCTAAAGAGTTGTCTCGGTTGATCGAAAGTACAGGGTTGCCCATATTCGACGGACCTTGGGCCCTTTGGGCCCATTCCAATCGACGAGGCTTATCCGCAGGCAACATTCTTTGCGTCAATTGAATTTTGTACGGGAACAAATGCAAATCAATGCAAATAATCCGTTGTAAAGTGGACCGAGCCATGCCCAACTGCTGAGAGCGGCGTTTTTGGGATGTTCTTGGGGACCTCTCAACACTGGCTCGTACGGCAGCGATATTCTCGGCCGATCGCCTTGGTCGACTTTTATATGGCCTCTTCGGATTAGAAAGAGCCTTACCAGTCGAAAATTTTTCGTATAAACGCTTAATGGTGTTCTTAGAAGGCGCACTTCTCACATTATTTAATGTTTTAAAAGCACGTTGAGTTTTCACAATTGACTTCTTCTGTTGAATGTAAATTTCAACTATTTCAGAGCGCTCGCGTGGCGTGTATTGGTTCATGGTAAAAATCGGCTTGGACTGACGCTTCAAACGCGGTATGTCATTAAGCGATGTGACATCTCTGTCAAAAGTTATGGCGTTGCCAGATGGGTCCGTCGAATACGGGCAAACCTGTAGTGAACTGCCGAATTTGGTTTTCTCCGCTGAGAAAACATTCGTTGTCCAGCGGTTCGTGTTCCAACAAAATGATCGTGTTTTCTTGCCAAAGAGGTCAGCTGAAAATGTGCACCTTCGGTTTGCCACGAGAACTCAAGCGACGGCCATGGTGATGGTGTGGGCCGCCATAACAGCCGATAGTCGCTCTCTGCTCGTATTAATCGACTGTGGCATCAGAATAAATACCGAATATTATCGCGAAAATATTCTGGAGGGTGTATTAAAGCCTTGGGCATGCAAACATTTTAGACGCAGACCTTGAACATTCCAACAGGACTCAGCACCATCGCACTCAGGACGCGCCACCCAAGAATGGTTACAAAATGAGGTTCCTCGCTTCATTTCCAGAGCACAATGGCCACCAAAATTCCGGAACATTTCCGGATACCAATCCGTTGGACTATTGTGTCTGGAATATTTTGGAAAGCAAGGTTGGCACTAAAAAATACAAAAGTGTCGATCACCTCAAGCAAGCGCTTAGCCATGAATGGACCAAAATACCCCAGAGAAACATTGCGGAAGCGTGTAACAGTTTCTTTGGCCGTTTAAAGGCCATAATTCGTGCCAAAGGTGATCAATTCGAAGAAATCTAAACTTATTCTAAAATTTGATTCTGTTTCCGACATTTTATTAATTTCATAGCATATGCCAAGATTGCATTCGTGAAATCAGCCGAGAATATATATATATATAGGAGCTATGTCCGAATCTGAAACCGATTTCTAATTAATTTGTCAAATTTATTGTTGTAACCAAATTCTGCCACACACACACACACACACACATATATATATATATATATATATATATATATATATATATATATATATATATATATATATATATATATATATATATATATATATATATATATATATATATATATATATATATATATATATATATATAAGGGAGATATACCCAAACCTCAATTGATTTTAATATAATGATTTAGCTCATTCGACCGAATTCAGTGTAGAAGTAAGCACATCAAATTTTGAGAAAAATCGGTTTACACATAGCTATAGCTCCCATCCGATCCGATTTGGGGTTTTAAGTCTTTCACATGCGTAATATGCTCTCCACAAGAATGATATTCGGTGCCAGGTATCAGATACCACTCGAAAATACGCATGCCAAAATTTAATGGAGATCGGTTCAGATTAGGATATAACTCCAAATTATATATATCCGATATCACGTTTATTGTGCACAAAATAGCTAATATCAACCCAAATGGACTGAATTTTGGTAATTCCGAGCGAATTCATCCTAGAAACTAGTATTTCATATTTGGTGTAAATCGGTTCAGATAAAGCTCTGCTCGTATTAATCGTTTACCCGATTTGGGGTTTAAAGTCACTCCCAAGCCTAATATACCTAATATCACATACAGCTTTGAAGTAAGTGTTTCAAATTTTGACATGATCTGTTCAGGTTTGGGTATAGTGCCCATATAAATCTTCAACTGATTTCGGGTTAATTGTGACCTAAATGTTGGCATATCCGACCGAATTTAGTCTAGAAGCAAGTACATTAGATTTTGTGAAAATAGGTTCAGATATAGCTATAGTTCCCATTTATATGTTTCATCCGATTTGAGAATGGTATTTGGTACTAGAGGATTCTGCAGTTCTACCTGCAAATTGTGTAGTTTTTATAGGAAAAATAAAAATTAATATATGACTAAATTTCGAGCGGGACATATATAGTCCTGTATTTTTCTGTGTCCCCAATAGATTAAAAAGGATGTAATATATTTAAGCTAGAAATTATGCATTTAATATTTATATTTTCCAAAAAAAAAAAAAAAAAAAAAAAAATAGCATTTGTATATTCCCACAATGCCGGAGGCTTAATATTTACTGCTTCGCACCTAAACATGATCTTATGGACGTAGGACATACAAACTATCAATTACATACCTTTTCATTTTACAATTAGTTCATATTGTAATTTTTTTAATAATTTTTTATTTTTTAAAATTAATTAAATAATAGTGTAATTTTATTCCCTAAATAATGTTTATCGTCATAATATTCCCAGCCATCCACTGTTCGTATATACTCGATACATACCTATGTAAACACATAGGTATGCATATGTAAAGTTTACATTCATTCATTGCATTGCATTGCATTACATACATACACGAATATTCACATTTATATGCATTTCGTTTGCTTTCTTTGTAGTGGTACGCCGACAATTTCACGTGCACGTGGAAAACATCGAAGTCTTTTTGGGAAATTCAGCGCTGATTAAGTGTGCCATACCGGACTATGTGCGTGCATATGTCAAGGTAACCACCTGGCAACGTGGCGAGGAGATGCTGTTGCCCGATGTATCCGATGTTGGTGAGTATTTGTTGCTGTTGTTGTTGTTGTTACTATCAATTGTGTGCATATATTCATTGTCACAATCGTAAACACATAAATAATTCGTGAGCTATTCGAAATGTTAACGTGGGCAGATGGAAAATTGTCGGGAGAATAGATGAATTGAAGTGGAAACTTTAAAGGATATATTTGCAGGGACATTTTCAAAGGAATTGTCTACGAAGAAGAGTGGGATTAATGAGGAATATTTTAATAGGATATTTTTAATAATCGTGGGAGTACTTAAGACCAGAATATTTTAAAGTATGTGATTTTTTATAATAGTTTAACAGAATATTTTTAATAAGCGTGGGATTTTTAAAAAATGTTTTCATTAAGAGTGGATTTTTGGATTGCTTTTGCACTCTTATTTTAATAAATGCCTGGTTGTAAATATTTTAATAAATTAAAAATCGTAAATTATTTAAGAATATGTTTATTTTGTTAATAAAATTGGTATGTTTTATTATACCCTCCGCCTTGGAAAGGAGGGTATATTAGCTTTGTCATTCCGTTTGTAACATATATTCATAATCAGCATAAAATTCTAAGTCGATTTAACGATGTCCGTCTGTCTGTCTGTTGAAATCACGATACAGCCCACATTATTTGACGTAGAGCGCCAAAATTTAGCAGAGCAATTTGTATTGTGTCTAGGATGGTTGGTATTGAAAGTGAGATATATCGGTCCACGTTCGTTATATGGGGATATAACGGTACCTCCCGATATTCGGTATTTTGATGATTTATGCCACATTTTTTCACTGATTTGTCTAAAAATTGGTATTTGTTGGTCATAATGGGTTCCAGCTCCGGTGGCGAAACATTGCATGTATGGGTCCACGATTTGGTATAGCCCCCATATAACGGTACCTCTCGATATTCGGTATTTTTATGGTTTTTGCCACATTTTTTCACTGATTTGTCTAAAAATTGGTATTTGTAGGTCATAACGGGTCCCTGTACGTGTGGCATAACATGACATTTATAGGTCCACGTTTTGGTATAGACCCCATATAAAGTTACCTCCCGATATTCGGTATTTTGATTATTTTTGCCACATTTTTTCACGGATTTGTCTAAAAATTGGTATTTGTTGGTCATAATGGGTTCCAGCTCCGGTGGTGAAACATTGCATGTATGGGTCCACGATTTGGTATAGCCCCCATATAACGGTACCTCTCGATATTCGGTATTTTTATGGTTTTTGCCACATTTTTTCACTGATTTGTCTAAAAATTGGTATTTGTGGGTCATAATGGGTCCTAGTTCGTGTGGCGAAACATTGTGTGTATAGGTCCACGTTTTGGTATAGTCCCCATATAACTGTACCTCCCAATATTCGGTATTTTGGTGTTTTTTTGACACATTTTGTCACGAATTTCTCTGAAAATTGGTAGTTGTCGATCACAATGGGTCGCAGTTCGTGCGGCGAGTCATTGAAATTATAGGTCCACGTTTTGGTATAGCCCTCATATAATGGTACCTCCCGATATTCGGCAATTTGATGATTTTTGCCACATTTTTTCCCGGATTAGTCTGAAAATTGGTATTTCTAGGTCATAATGGGTTCTAGCTCCTTTGGTGAAACATTACATGTGTAGGTCCACGATTTGGTATTGCCCCCATATAACGGCACCTCCCGATATTCGGCATTTTAATGGTTTTTGCCACATTTCTTCTAATGTTTCCTTTACCCTAAGGTGGTATTAAAAGTGTGGACCGGCCGAACTCAATGTGTTTTACTTCTTTTTAATGAGCATTGAATTTTCATTAACATTTAATGGATGTGGTATTTTTATGAATATTACTAACTTCGTCAGAGGTTTGAAGTGCTCAAAATGCACAATTTGTTCAGTGTAACTAACATGTTAAACCAAAACTTCGTACATCGTACTACATGGTTTTATATATAACTCAAGTTTTTCCTTTTCCGGAAAGAATAATAGAACTTTTCCAACAAAAAGTCTTAAAAATCTTTTATTTTGAAGTGTATCTAGGAGGATATAACTAAAACCACAGGATAAGGCACCCACATTCAATTTTTGTTGTTTAAAACTATTTCAACGTCTCCATGAAAATAAACAGTGACTTTAATATCAAATTTCAGGATTTCAGCTTTCCCATTTCTCCCATCACCAAATTTAGTACCACTAAGTATTTTTCGAGCAATTATAATATACATTTTCACAGCCACTTTCATATTTTAACCACAAACACCAACAGTGACCTCAATATCAAATTTCAGGATTTTTGCTCAATCCCTTCACCCAATACCAAATATAGTATTTACAAAACCACCACCAGTTCTCAACCTCAGATAGCAACAGTAGACTCAAGCTATCAAATTTCAGGATTTAAATTTGGTAATTTCCCCATTACTAAATTTAGTACCGGATAGTATTGCTACTGATAGTACTGCTGTGAGGATATAAATATGCGTAAAACCAGCTCAACTACAGACACCCATAGTGACATCCATATCAAATTTCAGGATTCCAGCTCTATCCCTTCCCCCAGTACCTAAATTTAGTACTATTAGTAATTTTCGTACATACATTTTCAAACCTATCTCCATATATCAATCTCAGATACCAATAGAGACCTCAGTATAAAATTTCAAAATTCTATCTTTATCCCAACACACAATACCGAATATAGTACTACTTCTTACCTCTTGAATAATTATAGTACACCTTTCCAATACCACCTTCATGTCATAACCACACACACCAACAGTGACATCTTTATCAAATTTCAGGACATCAGCTCTATTCCTTCACCTACTTACCATTCAGTACTTTTCGTACAATTACAAATTTCCAAGACCACCTACATTTCTCAGTTCCAGATACAAACAGAGACCTTAATATCTAATTTGAGGATTCTAGCCCTATCTTTTCACCCAATACCAAATTTAGTAACATTTAGTAATTAAGGAACTAATTCCAAACTTAACCTAAGATACCAACAGTGACCTTAACATCAAATTTCGGAGTTTCAGATCTATACCTTCATCCAATACCTTATTTAGTATTACTTAGTACTTTTCGAATAAATATAGTACACATTTCCAATACCATCTCCGTATCTCAGTTCCAGATATAAACAGAGACTTTAATACCAATTTTGGGGATTGTAGCCATATTCCTTCCACAATACAAACTTAAGAACAATATAGTAGTTTTCGTAAAAATATAGGACACATGTCCGAACCACCGTCAAGTCTCAAACACAGATACCATAAAAAATCTAAATTTCAGTATTGGACCTCCATCCCATCTTCCAATACCAAATTTAGTACTATTTATATATAGTAATATTCAATACTTTTTTGTGGTAAAGATATGGTTTTGGGTATGTGTACCAAAACCATATCTTTACCACAAAATTGCGACTAACAGGGACCCCAATACAAAATTTCAAAATTCGAGCTTCATCCGTTTATCCTAAACCAAACTGTTTCAAATTTAGTACCATTTAGAACAGTCCGCACATTTAGTACACATTTTCAAAAGCTCCTTTAGATATTAAACCTACTGTCGAACCTTGATTTTCGTATCAAATCCTTAGTTTTTAGCTTAATCCGTTCACATAATACCAAATGGTAACCTTAAAGTTCGAATTTCCAAAATTTTTTCCCTACATCAATCCTGCGCCACGTCAGTAACTCTCATTCTAAATTTCGGAATTCTAGCTTATTCCGTTTGTCATCTTTATATACAAAACTTACTGTCGAACCTTGAATCTCGTACCAAATTTTAAATTACTAGCTCTATTCATTCACATAATACCAAATGATACCAGTTAAGAAGTTTAGTACCAATACAGTATTTTTCGTAACCTTTAAGTTCGAATTTCCAAAACCCCTTCCCTACATCAATCCTGCGCTATACCAGTAACTCTTAAGAATTCTAGCACATACCGTATGTCCAATACAAAGTATTCAATTTTTAGTTCTAAAAACCTAACCTTATTACACGCCTATGCACTAATACTGGCCCTCGGACAAAATTTCAAGACTTTAGCTTCAGCCGTTTCGTCTGAGCCTTGATTATATATCAGTCATTCAGTCAATTGTTTCACTACTCTTTTATATAACTATTTTTGTATACCCTTAGTCATATGATTATACGCCTGAATTCCATCACGAATAAATTTTTTTCTGAAAAATTCTCACAAAAATGCTTCTGTACGCTTGTAAACAATATAATGAGCTGGCACTGGATTCATTTTAACAGCTGTCGGATAAGTGGCTTAGAAATGACAGCAGTCTGAAATTGATTGCAGTTTTTTCATCTCACTCTGTATATCATTTGATACGGCCAAAACGTGCATAGTCGAAAAAACGATTTTAGACCTTAGGTCTCTTTGGACCAAATCCGTCTCAGGACATTTGGAGTCGATCTATCGATGTCCGTCTGTCTCGCTGGTGCGCACGATGATTCTCGAAGAGACTATCCGATTTGGTCCATACTTGGTACATCATAATATATTTTTATCAAACTTAGAGTCCGGAAACGAGCAATATCGGTCCACAAAAAAAAGAAAAAAAAAATTACTGCGCAAAAAGAGAAATGATAATTAGATTTTCCTCCAAATTTGCAAATCCTAATATTTGCATCACTGCTAAGTCAGTTTAGAAAATTGACAATATCTGTACCATGTGCCATCAGGTACCATAACCACAAAGGCTCAACATTTTGAATAATTATAACCCTTATAAAATGTGATGTAGGAGACCGATTGTCTTCAAATTATGAACACAATATTTTTATTAACCCAAGGTCTGGTGTGAAGATGGGATATATATTCGTCCACTCCTTCTGGTACCTCAACAACATTTTTAATATCCACGAAACTCATAAAATTGGAAATTAACATCAGATTCCATTCAGACCTGGCACTTCTCAATAGTTCCATCAACACAGGATCTGTTATAAAGATGGCAGAGATCAGAGGGGGGTTCAAGATTTTGA